CCTAAGATTCTGATTTCATTAGTCTAGGGAGGCCCAGGAATTGTTTTTGTTTTTTCATTTTCTAATTCCTGGGGAGGAGGAAGGGGCCAGGGAGAATGGGGAAGGGCGTGGTTTGATTCCACTTTCAGCAGGAATTCCTGGCTCCCACTGTGCACTCCGGACTCACCGCTGTCCGTCAGCTCCAGGCTGACCTCCTCACTGCCCTGGGGAGGGAGAACAGAAGCCACGGGTGGATCAGCAGGGCAGTTCCGGCCCATGCCATCTTCCACTCCTTCCCCCTCTCCAGTACCCTCCACCACTGTTAGGACTCAGCCCACTGGGTCCTCAGAGACCCCCTCCTATGCCACTCCTACCACCTGGGTCTAGAAGAAAACCCTGACCAGTGAGACCCAGCCAGAAAGAGGTGGCCCAGGGCCTTGTGTTCCCTTTGGGCCACATGGAAAGCAGGTGGCTGTGGGGCTGAGCCGGGAACCCACACTAACCAAGGCTGGCTCGCATGATAGGGAATGGACAGGAGAACTGAGTGACGGCGCTGATGACCTCGGTGGGGAAGCCCGGGGGAGCCGAGGTCTCCCTCTGCAGGACAGGGCTCTGCCTCATCCCACACATGTGAGAAAAGGAAGGCCCGTCTTTCTCAGTGGCTGAGCCACGACCACCACTAGCCCTTAGAGATCTTTTGGACTACTTAGGAAAAGGGGTCTCCAAGTGGGCAGCCTGGCTTGGCTGGCACTGTATGGACCGGGTTCCCCCTTCCCCTTCAGCCAGGCGCCCCTCAGTGCCCACCACGGACCACGCCCAGCTCACAGCACCCACCTCCCGGGGCCGGCAGAGAGACGGTTTGCAGGACACCTTCCTGGCCAGGGCCTCGCTCTCGGGGTCTGCCACCGGGCTCTGGAGCAGGGACAGCAGCATGTCTGTCTCAACAGTGATGTCTGCTCCGTGAGAGAGAGGGAAAGGAGCAGCAGGCTGACTAGCAGTCCCTCACAATTTTGGATACCTTACATTTCTTGTGCCCCCACCCCAAAATCTATTCCTGGGCTCACACACATCTGAGCATGCACAGACGGATGCAGCCTTGCTCAGCGGGGCCACACGGCAGGTCACCGACCCTCTGAGGGTCAGGCCTTTTCCATAAAAGGAGGGGAAGGCTAGGTGGTCTCTAAGATGCTCACATCCACACATGTGCATGTTTTCAGTGATTTCCTGGCCTGGGGACATTTTACAAATAAGGACACTATAACTGGAGAACTGGGAAGCAGCAGAGCCAGGCCCAGCTGCCTCCCGTAACAGGGGCTTCTACTCATTTCCCACAGGGGAGCCAGGCAACTCCCAGACCAGACCACCACAGTCCTCAGCTGCCCTGCCCCGCCCCCACCCTCCCAGCACTGGGTGCAGACTCTGCCCTGGAGCCATGCAGGCCTCTCTCTGCAGAGCCCTCAGGACTGGCCTGGAGCTTCCACCATCTCCTCTCCTGGACCCGCCCACCCCAGCCCCACCTCACTCCCCATCCCTGGGCAGGGCTGGCGGAAGAGAACCTGGAAAGCAGGGCCTCTTCTTGGGGTCCTGGTCCCAGCAGCGCCTCATCAGGTCCCCCATCTGCTGGGCCTCCCCTGGCCACTCATCGGAGACAGACTGTAGGGAGGGCCTCATGCCCGCAGCCACGCGGATGATTATGTTCACCATGTTGAGGCCTGAGAGAGGAGGCCCAGGCTGTGCGGGTACTGGGAGGGAGGGGCGGGGGGCAGAGGCGCTCTGGGGATCCTCACAGGGTGGAGCACCCAGCAGGGCCTCCATGAATGCATGGGGAGTAAAGAGCTAGATTGCAGGCCCACTTTAGGTTCTAAGTCTCTGGTCCAGCTCCAGCCACCTCCTAAGCCAAGACCAGAGATGACCCCACCCTACAGACCTTTGCTGTCCAAAGATAGCAGAGCTGACCAACTGACCTACTTATGAAATTGGCTTTCAACATTGCTGGGTTATCCCAGTTTCCTGATAGTTGTTTCCCTGGCATTCTTGGTAGCAGGGAGGGAGTGGGAGGTGCAGGAGGAGCACATTGAAAGGGGAGGAATCAGAGCTGGAAGCCTGGCCCCCACAAACCCTCAGCCCTCCCACAACCCCTTCCAGGACCCCATCTGAGGATTCCACCGTTGTCTGCTACCTGAATATGGTTTCTTCTGAGTGAGGATGTCCCAGATGACAATCCCGAAGCTATAGATGGGGAAAGTGCTGCCTGAGTGACTTTCTCAGATACCCATGGTCACCTGGTCAGGGGGACCCCATGGACCACACAATCTCAGATAAATCCTCTCCAGCCAGAGTCCCTCTCCATACTCTCCCTCCCACGTGGGTAGAGAGGGCTGGACCTCATCCCTCATGCCTGCCCTGCCCTTTGGGCCATGGGGTCCAGGCAGGGTGGTGATAAGCTACGTCCAGGGTATGGAGATAGAGCCCAGCCTCCCTCTCACCTGTACACATCGTATTTGGGCCCCGGGGCCTTGTTACTCTCCAGGAACATCTCAGGGGGGATGTAGCTGAGGGTGCCCCGCAGAGCCGACCGCTCGATGTACTGCATCCGGGTTGACTGTTCCATCCACTTGGACAAGCCAAAGTCCGAAATCTGGGAGGAAGATAGAAGTGGGGACAGGGGACAACAGTCTTGCCTCCAGAAAACTGCCTGGTGTCTCACCCTTGTCCAGTACAGTGCAGTGGCTAAGAGCATGGGCTCTCTCCCAGCTCTACCATGTAGGACCTGAAGGACCCTGGACAGGTTATTATCTTTTCAGAGCCTCAGTTTCCTCATCTATAATGCCTGGCACACAGTAAGTGCTTGGTAGGTGTGACCTTTATCCAGAGGGACTATGGATAAGCTGCTGTCTTTGGTGAGCTTCTGTTCATCCCATCTCCACAGACCCTGAAGCATTTATACCACGGATAGGTATGCCTTCTTTGCTTCCATCCATTGATTTAGTCACATGCCAAGTGATCATTCCCTGAGTGCCTACTAGGCCGGGTACTGAGGATGAGACAGCAAATAGAGAAGATGAGAACCCTCACACTTATTACTGTCCTAAGTGGTTATTCAGATAAGGGATAGTCACTAATGAAGACGTTTCACATGATTATATACTTACAGTTGGGGTTAGCAACACAATAAGAGTATTCTACAGGGGTCTGCGGGGCAGATCAGGGAAAACCTCCCTGGGGACGGGATGTTTAAGCTGAGAGCTGAAAGATGAGTAGTCCTTTGTTAGATAAAGAGGGGAGTGGGGGAGCACTGCTCCTGACAGCGAGAACAGAACATGCAAAAGTCCTGGGGCATAAAAGGAGTGTGGCGTGTTTTAGGAACTGAAGAAAATGGCCACATGACCTTCTATAGGGTCATCTCATTTACACACAGCCCCACCTGAAGCAAAGCACGGGAAGGATAGAGATTCTTCTACCCACATTGGAAATGGAAGACTAAGGCCCAGAGGGGGTTATTGCAGGCATCCCGATGCCCCGCTTCATGCTCCAATTTCATTGCTCATCCGCCTCTGTTTTGGGTGTGATTGCCACCTTCAAATTTGTCCATGAAGGAAGCTGCTTAAAACTCTTGACAGGCCAGTCAGACAGGTAGATAATCCTGCTCACCTGGAGGAGATTCCAGAGTAAAAGGGGGGCAGAGATTACCGGGGTTGTTACCTTGACATGCATGTTGCTGTCCAGGAGGATGTTGCCTGGCTTGAGGTCCAGGTGGAGCAGAGGTGGCTTAATGCTGTGGAGGAAGTTCATGGCCAGGCTGGTCTCATGGATGATGCGGAATTTGAGCTGCCAGGAGAGGCTGTGGGTGGGCAGCACCTTCTCCAGGGAGCCGTTGGCCATGAACTCCATCACAATGCCCAGGGGCTGCTTGCACACCCCGTAGATGGACACAATGTGCTGAAACTTGATCTTCTCCATTTTGGACGCTTCTTCGATGAGGTAGTTCACATCAGAGCTGTGGAGGGTGGGGGGAGGGGAGGGGGGAGATGGTGGGGAGTGACCCCTTTATTACAAGAGCAACCAGCAGAACACACAGAGTAGGCTTGACGCCAGGCTGTGCAGACCCAGAGGAGCCTAGGGAGCTCGTGGGCTCGAAGGGGAGGAAGGAGAGACCTGAAAAGATGCCCAGGAGGACGCACGGGTTGGGATCTGGGCAGCCAGCAGGAAAAGGCAGGCGGCAAAAGAGTTGGCAAGTTTAGGAGAAGTCCGTTCTAATAGCAGTGGCCACAGAAAGCCGGCCATGTATTCTGGCCGCTTGTCTATGTCTCCCCCAGCAGACTGCAAGCCCCCGAGGACTGATGCTATGCCTCCTGCTTGGTTTTAAAATATTATCTATTGCCATTTTGATTATGAAAGTAAGACATATACCTTGTAGAGAATCTAGGGAATACAGGGAGTTGTAAAGAAAAAAATTAAATTGTCAGTATTCTAACCTTCCAAATTTGGCCTCTGTTAATATTTTAGTATATTCTTTTACATACACGTCCAAGGTCTCTGCCTGCCTTCCTCCCTCCTTCACTCCTCTTTTTCCCCATGGTTCACGTGGTGCAGGCTGGTGCGGTAGCCCCAGCACGTCCCTGCATTGCTCCTCACTGGCAGCAGGAACTGCGTGTCTGCCTGGTACCCGGTGCTCTGGATAAACTGTAATTATTCATGTAGGTGCTCCCCATAGTGCATTACCACGCACAGCACAATACGTCTTTGTTGAATTTAACACAAGTCAAGACTTAAGGGAAGGCCTTAGAAAATAAGCATTCGCAAACCTTCTTGCTCTTATTATTATTATTTTTATATATCTTTATTGATTTCAAAGAGAGGAGGGAGAGAGAGAGATAGAAACATCCATGATGAGAGTCATTGATCGGCTGCCTCTTGCACACCCCCTACTGGGGATCGAGCACCCAACCTGGGCATGTGCCCTGACCAGGAATCGAACCCTGATCTCCTGGATCTTAGGTCAATGCTCAACCGCTGAGCCACACCCAGCTGGGCCCTTCTCTCTCTTTTCACTCAGTGTGTCCACAGAGCAGTGAACATGCAAATCATTACAGATTGTTTGGGGATTGAGACTGAAGGTTAGGGAGAAATGACAGTTTTGAAAGCACAGTATTTGCAAAGTGCTGTTGGCCTTGCAGCCAGAAGCTGCTGGAAATATGCTCACAGGGCCTCCTTGGGAAGCCAGCCAGGTGCTCCCGAACTCCAGGAAAAGCCACCTGCTCTTCCTGGAATCTAGGCAGGCTGGTCAGTCCTGGTTCTCCAGTCCTTGCCTCTACTTCCCTATTGTTCCAGAGAGCTCCCCTCTACCTCTGCAATCTTTTTTATCTGCTCTTTGTGTTCTTTTGAGTTCTCAGGAACTGAGACACCTGGCATGAAATGAAAAAAAACAACAAGGGATCCGAGGGCGCTGGGCCCTGATTCAAATCCCAGTTTCACCACTTGCTCTCCGTGTGCCCTTCAGCAGGCCAGCTCTGCACCTCAGTCTCCTGACTGAGCTGGAACAGGAACTGCACAGCTCCCCTCGGCACCCCGGCTTCTGGACAGCGTTGGTCGTGCCTGTGGTCTCACTCTTTTTCTCATCTCCCACTGCCCCCTTTCATCTGGCTTCTGGTCTCAGCACTTCACAGAACAGCTGTTGCTATGGTCACCAACGACCCCATGTTGTTCTAGTCTATGAACAACTTTTAGTTCTCGGTTTACAGGTCAGATCTCTCACTCTTTTTTTCTCGAAATATTCACTTACCTCAGCTGTGTGCTGACATTCTGCAGGATTTCTGCCTCTCGTTCTGGTCACCTCCTCTCTGCTTCTTGACCACTAGCCCCAGCCCCAGGCCCTCTCCTTCTTCTCACTCTGTGCTCTGTCTCTAGGCAATCTTTGACACTTAACGAGTCTAGAGATTCCCCCCTAAAACCTGCTTCTCCCTCAGCCTCCCTCATCTCAGTGAACGGGGCCTCCATCTCTTAGTCCTCAAAGGTCTTGGTGTCATCCTTGAATCGGCTCTTTCTTTCCTTTCCACAACCAGTCCCAGCACATCCTGTCAGCTCTACCTTTAAAATAAAGCAAGAACCTGACCATTTCTCTCCACCTCTACCCATTGGCATCGTGGCCCAAGCCTCCTGCCTGCCTCTCTGCTTCTCTCCCTTCCCCTCCACCATCTATTCTCAACCCAGCAGCCAGAGTGACACTTTTTAAATGTCAGTCGGAGCATGTCACTACTCTACTCAGACCCTTCCGGGGGCTCTCTTCTCAGTCACAGTAAAAGCTGAAGTACTTACAATGGCCTACAAAGCCCCACATGATCTGTCCCCAGACACAGCTCCCTGATCTTTTCTCCTACTAATCACACCTTCCCTGACTCTGTTCATGCCAAACTGGCCTCTTGTTGCCACTCCACCATGTCAAGCATATTCTCACCTCAGGACCTTTGCATTGCTGTTCCCTCTGCCTAGAATACCTCTCCCTAAGAGCCACATAGCTTGCTCCTTCTTTGTTTCAAATCTCTACTGGAATGATACCTAATTAGTAAGAATTTCAAGTCTACATAAACTAGCAACCCTACCCCAACTCTGGCAATCTTTATCGCCCATACACAGATGGCCACGACATTTCTATTCCTAGATCAAATGTGTTCTTGGAAGATCAGATTACTCAACTCTCCTTAGGTATTCTAATCAAGAAAATATCAAGTGGTTGTAAGCGCTATAGATCAAATTATTTATTTGTTTGTTTGTTTACTTTTTTATTGTCTTCCTCCATTAGATTATAAACTCCATGAAGGGAGAAATTTTGGCTTCTTCACTTGGTGCTTAAAATGAATAAATGTTATCCATGTCTTAGCTCCAATTACGTTTAACAAATGACTCACAAATTTTAATATCGTTAGCTCAGACCTTGACTCTGAAGTCTACTTGACAATTCTTCTCAACATGCACAGAACTGAACTCATGGCCTTCCTCTCCAAACCTGGGCCTTTTTTCATGTTTTGCTTTGTTAACTGTCAACAATACAATTCAACAAATATTTATTGAACACCAACTATGTGCCAGGCACTGGGGACAGGGTAGTGAACAAAATAGACACAGACTCTGCTCTCACAGAATAGACATTCTAGGGGATCCTTGTTTCTGTGGGGAAGCCAGGCATCAAGCTAACTTGGACACTCCCCTCCTCACTGTGGGCCCCAGAGCCAACCCAGCATGAAGTTGAGCGGATTTTACCTCCTAAATATTGTGTAATCTCTCCCTTTCACTTGACCGCCAACACACCAGTCTGGACTCTACTAGGCCCCTGCCTGAATGATGGCAACAGTCTCTTAACTGGACCAGCATTACTCCACCCTTCCAATCCAGTCTCCATCCTGCAATTCTGGTCAATTCCTCCCTGTCGCCACCAACCCCACCTGACTGCAAATCCTTCAGAGCTTTCCACTGCTCCCTCTCTCTCAACTCCAGCCACAAGAGCCACTTTCCAGCCTTTACTTAGTGTTCCCCCCTGCCACAGGCCCTTGGCACATTCCATTGCTTCTCCCTGGAAAGTTCTCTTCTCTTTACCTTCTTAACTCACCCTTCACATAGCAACTCAAGTGTAATCTCCTCAGGAAAGCCTTTTTCTGATCTCAGCCAATCTCTGTTAGGAAGCTCTCACAGAACCATAAACCTCTCCTCCCAGTAGCACACTCACACTTACACGTGGGTTAGCTGATTAATGTATCCCCCCCCGGGGGGGGGAACGGGGCAGTGTCTATTGCACTCATCACTGCACCTCGGGGGCTAGCCCAGCGCCTGACATACAGTAAGAGGGCGCTAAGCATTTGCCAAGGGAGTAAATGAATAGGAGATGAAGGGAGGTCCAGTGAAGTAACAGGTAAATCTAGTACGGGACTCCACACACAGCGGGCACCAATTCCCATGAAGCCCCTCAGCCCACTCTTCCCAGGGGGTTCCCGGGGCTGGGGAAGGAAGGTGGCAGAAGTTACTGTCAGTGTCTAACGCTGTCGTCTGTCAGCGCCGTCTGTTTCCCCTGATCTTTCTCCAAAGGCTGTAGATGATTTGGACAAATCCTGGAATAATCTGCCTCTACTCTACTCCAGAGGGTGTTAAGGGGGGAAGGTGGGTGAGTCGGGCCGGCTCACTTGCCCTTATTCATGAAGAGGCGGGGGAGTCTGGCCGTCAGGAAGGGGCTGGCTCCAATGTGTGGGCCCTGACGCTGTGCCCTGGGAGCTTGCACGGTGGACTCAGAGAACAGGACAAAGAGCACCCCCGTGAGATGCCAGCAGGAGATGTTCCCGCCCAGGCCCTCTAATTGAAGGCCCAGGAGCCTCTGGAGAGAGACAAACCCAGTGGGAATGAGGCTGGAGTCCATCAGTGGGAAGGCAGAGACAGGCGGAAACAGTGGGAAAGAGGTGCAGGTGAGAGACTGGGGAGGAGCCCAAGACAAAGGCGGACGGTGATGGCCGCTCTCCAGGCCTGACCTCCCAGCAGGACCTGTGAGAGCCAGCAAGCGGCTGGACGGGATCCCAAGCCCAGGCCTCCTCCAGCCTGCACTCCTGGGTGGGGGGCCGCCGGAGGTGGCTGTGAGAAAGGGGACATGCTTCCCCAGGTCACCGAGCATCACTGAGCCAAGGGCCACAGCCTCCCAGCCGGCCCAGCCCTGCCTGCCCTGAGATTTTGAGGGTGGGTAGGAGGGTGGCAGAGGGCCACTGAGAGCAGTCCTCACCACCCTGCACCCGGGAGGAAGAAGGTGCTGGGAAGGGGGCAGGACCGGTTCGGAGGGTAGTTCCCTGTGGGCTCCGCACACAGGTGCGCGCCCGCTGCACTCAGGCCCAGGGCAAAGCCACGCCGGGCTGGGAGCCGGCCCCGGGGCAGGGCTCGGGAACGCTGGGGCAATCCTCAGCCGGAGGCCCCTCCCCCGAGCCCCCTGCGCCCCGTTTCCCCTCTGCGCGAGGC